TCCCCATTTAAATGTCATTTGCATGCATTTGCATGCATTTGCATGCATTTGCATGTGCATGAACCTGGTAATGCGCCACGCAAACCGACAGGAACATTGAAAACCTTCAACCCTACTAATTTGCCAGCACAGATTTGCAGATTGAGTGCACGACAAATCTCTTCTCATAGAGCAATTCTGCTAACTTGGTAGATACCATGTGGGAAGAATATTTATGGAAGCTGGCTGAATAAAGTATAAGTAGGAATCGACGGAAATATTCGGAATAACTCTACGGCCATAAAGCCTGAGCTATCCACCAGCAATCTGTTATGATTTTGAAAAGTATTGCACTATAAATACTATGTGAACACAAATATTCAGTCATTTGAAATGGAGATTTTATTTGAGAATTGTCTTGCTGGTAATTGAAAGTAGTAACGAGGTTAAGCAGCATGCGGTACACAGAACACCAAGTGAAAAGTGAGAAAAAGATTCCGTGGACATATTTTGTTTTGCTCTACCGTGGTTACTTCGGGCACTGGTGCAAAATAACATCACTGAGCGTTGGATGCATATTACAGCTGCGCCGTCTGCTATTCAGGTGCAATGAGCTCTATGCATCTGAAAGCTGTCAATTGAGCGTATAGGAACTGCTTGCATTCGGACACCGATTTCGCCTCGACTATTTTCTCGGACAACACGTGCCAGTATTTCACCAAAGCTACGTTCGAAGCATAGATGATGAGCTATTCGCTTTAGATCAGGTACGAGTAGATTGTAGCGGTGCTCGCGAATGCTGCTTATTTCGCGTGAGTACAGCGGCGACCTTAATACGGGGAAGCAACCGACATTGAATGTTAGGTGCGTAATGATGAAGTCAACACTAAATCGACGATACGACAACATGTATCGCCATAATCGTCCGCATGGCGCTAAGCAAGATTCGGAATCCACTGGAGCACAAGGTTCCAGTGCATATTTAAAATGTGAACAAGGTATAGGTTTTATTGGGTGTGAAGCTATGCAGGCAGTAAGTGTCTTATTATAACCATAGGTTGTGCTTTACAATGACTAATGCTCTTATGCATCCTGAACTTTGCTTCTCCACTCTATAGGTGACTTACACAACGCACGAGATTCAGCCATTGCCTCTAGACAGCTTAGATCTTTCGAACAGTAAACAAATTTGTATTCGACTAGCCGGATTACATTTGAAAACTAAGCATCTCAGTCGCAATAATAAAATAAGTTGCATAAGATTAATGTACACTGGTTGAGTGGTATCAGTAGAGTAACCGAATATATGAAGTCGAGATTTTACCATTTGGTTGGAATGTGCATTTCTTGATGATTTATCACGATATGTGCTACTAGAACGTCAGCCGAACGAATGACCCAGTGGACGGCCACAGGCAAATTCACAAGCAGTTTGCTTGGTCAAAAGAGCATCTAGTGTCAAATCTGCTCACACAAACCATAGTCGCCTCGATGCATTTTACCAGTCTATCAGACCAACAATACCAGATATAGAGAAAACATCACAGATTTTCAGTATGCTTTTCGCAACTAAGTTACGTGCTGCTACTGAAGTCGAACTTTTGGCTTAAGAATACAGAAATTGTTTGTGCTTTGTAAGTGTTACTATGCTTGGTCTTTCAGATACAACGGCTTTTCACATCCCTAACGCTTTTCATTTAATTACTGCTAAAATTAAAAAGTGAACATTGTTGCAATCTTATGCGGATTCGCTTCGTAAAATTCCTTGTAGCTTGCTACGTGTCGAGTCTCTTGAAATCATTGAACAAGGCCAATCATAACGATTCGCTTCAGGACTTTAGAGGCGGCCGCATTATGATTAATAGGGCGACAGTTTGACATGTGAGTTCGTAGGCCATTTATGCGTTGTGTTGCTATTATCTGATTCCCCCGCTGTGGAGGGAAGCATCCGTTAATTAGAGAGGGTTTAAGGATATTTATTGTCAATTAGCGCATGCTTTTAGCGCACAAGTTAATAACAGATGAGGAATACTATCCGGTCTCAACTGAAACGTTATTTCCATAAAGTACACTCTTGCAAATATCACCCATGACTGCTTGTATGTTCGAAAGGATTTTATTTGCAATCTGTTTTATGGGAGAGGTGTCTGTGTTGGTATAATGTTTAGAGGATGTTGCGTCAGAAGTGTCATGTTCTTCACATATTAGACTATTATCCGTTGCTGTGTCATCTGTCAAATTTAGCCTATGTATTCCATAGTAGTGTTTGCCAGTCCACCTTTTATATAGCCTACCCAGTGTTTTAGCCATTGTTGATATTTTTGTTCTTTGATTTCCCTCGTTAATTTTTACTTGCATTGATTCCATCCCAGTACATTATAGTTGAACAAAATCAATCTACGGCATTGTGATAACAGTTAATTCAAATTAATAGTAGATTTGTATTCTATGTTTAATTGACTACCACTGGTACGTGTGTTTATTCATAGAGTAGGCGCTAGTAGGTCAATGCATAGTGCAAGAAGTCTGATGAAATTCATTTGTGGCGTTGTTAGATCATTAGATAAGAAGGGTATTTCCAATACAGGGTAGGATCAGATTGTAGAAATTGGCAAACTCAATGACTTAGATATGAAGAACTAGGTAACCAGTCCCTATTTTCCAATCATACTGCAGAGCACAGCATTGTTATTGCAGCCCATTAGAGTGCTAGCAATATTCACAAAATTTTACAGGATGCCAACATAAGATTAGATAGAATTTGTTGATTCCTTTTATGAGTACCTTGAAATTCTGAATCCTACCATTGTTTTGAATGCTATGGATTATTCCCACGAGAATCCCTGACATCAGCCTTTATATTTAGACAGCCAGACTTTTCGAAACGGGTGAATGCCAATAACACCAAGCTGATTGTCTTCTGAGTTTCAACCTGTTTCACTGACAAAACAACATAGGGAGGTTCATGGAAGACGAATTTTGCAAGCAGGTTCAATTTGGGCAGATAGAAGCAAAGGTTTATAACAGCAAAACAGAGAAACTTGATAAAGTTGGATGATACCGGATGACCCACTGAAGCAGTTTGCCAGCATTGTTAAGGGTGGCTTAACACCCAGGGTCTTTCGAGATTTAAATCATAGTAGGTTGTAAAGTCTCCAGCGAAATGAGTGTTCTACTTGAATGATCATCGGTCAAATCATTATGCACGTTTACGCAAATTCCAGCAGTGGTGCGTAATGTATACTTCTGCTTCCTCGTGCGCCGAGTGCTGTGTTTGCAGCCGATCTGAGTACATTGAGAGCGATTATAACTTTCGACGATTGAGGCCATATTCAGTTCGATTTCAAACATGCTTTTATGTGAACTGTAACAGTCCACCTCCCATGTAACATTTTCAATTCGGTATCCGTGATCATTATTAAGAGTAATAAAGTCCAATGCTACACCAGTGACAAACACCGCTACACCCACACATGCCATGAAGGATCTAGGTGATTTGGAGTATGTAGACAACACACATATTCTAACTGAAACGGGCTATGCGGGCAATGAGCACATAAACGCACGTAACGCGCTCGTTCTCAAGAGGTTGTCATTCATATGTTTTCTCCCAGCATGTGAACGATGGCAGAGAACTGACCTCCACCTAATGTCCAAACATCTGATTTGAGGCACAGACGGTGGAACGGGTCCAACACATTGCAACCAAATTCAACTCAAGTATCTAGGGTTTCAGCACGACGACACTAGCCAGCTAATTGGATTGCACACACTGTCCAATCGTCTGGTGTGCGTCAACCATATTTTGACTTATCAAACTCTACACATTTGTGACTATCCACATTTGGTTCTATTGCATCACTTGCAAACACCACTTAGCCAACGTGGACGCTAGTACAACTATGTGTTGCATATCTGAAATTTGTTGGCTGCCACCTGTTCGTTGAATGTCGAGTAGTCAATGTACCAAACGGTGCAGGAGCGTTGATGGAATGCAGCATTGTTATAGTGGTTCACGGCGTAGTTAGATGGGAATGTTAATAATTAGAAAGTGTACCCACTAACAATGGTGAATTGCACGTTTGAGACACAACGTACCGTGATGCATAAGCTTATTGCTTTTTCAGAGCATTAAATGAAAAGCGATAAGCCCGGTGCACTTAAGACCATTTTGCATGTTTTGATCATATTTTGGTAGAGTTGTATATATAAGATTCGCAGTAGACCCAATAAAAAGTAAACATTAACGAGTACTTCGGTTAGTGAATTAGTTCTGAATGTTGCTAAAGTAGCAAAATCCAGCATATATACCTGCTCACACTTTGACTCTAATACATCCATCAATATTCATGTAACCAGCAAACATATTTACATTGCACAAAGACATGTATAAATTGCAAATATTTACCGGAACAAAAGCACGAAAAATTACCTTCAAGTCCGTAATATTATTGCGGTTGATGTTACCAAAGATAAATCCGCAACATGCAACTAATCCTGGTTAATAGATAATTTTAAATCACCTACGCACACCAATGCTGTGGAAATGTTGGGGTCGCATCCAATGCACACATGCGTTTAAGTGATACTGATTCAGTTTGTAATAGTGTGAGATAACTGAACGTCGCGCCCTTATGTCACAAGTCCTTGGCTTGGGTTCAAGTTCGTCTTGCGCTGCTGAAGCGCCACTGAAGTATTACGCATCCACCAATTTGAGAATTCTCACGATACAAACTTCCCGAACAAATCAACTGCAGCGATCATCAACAAATGCACTGCGCATTACATAAGAGTGATTACTGCCTGCCACACAGTTCGCCTGTTTCTTCGACAACCTGAGCTTGAGAAATCAACTTTCTATCTCCAGATCTCAGCCAGGTAGCAAGCAAGCAGTGGAAACTGAGGCACTTAATGACGCATCGGAAAAATTTCCCACAGCAAATGTCATATTGTGGGAGCGAAGTCACACGGAACACTAAAATAAAATCGTGAATATCGAGAGCTACATGTAAATTGTCGTCATGATGCCCTTCGCCTGGGTGCAACTCTGCATTGCTCTTGTTCTCGCAAGCTCAAATATGGCATTCAGCAGTGAGTCATTATCTTAATCACCTAAGTTTCTTTATGTTTTTATTTGGCGTTGCTTAATGATACACACACTGCTAATACAATTTGCGAATCCAATGTCAACACAATTGGGTTAGGTTTAGTGATAGGCAAATTTCTCCTCTAAGTTGCATTGTGCCGATTTGAGTCTTCCGCATCAGGATTATTGAATGCTTCGGTGTTTGATGTAAAGCAACGACAGCATGGGCTTGAGTGAGTAACTAATCTTAGTTGCAGGCCGAATTATTACTGAATATTATTCTCGCCCGCTTCTCGACGGAGTTAGTGCACCTTGATTATTGTATTAGATGTATTAAACAAAATATCATCAGCATCATTTGATATGTGATAATTAGCTTGTCCAGTTTATTATTGTATCTATCTCAATGCGGTTTATGCGACACTGGCGGTTGCGACCACAGTAGAATTTCGTCGCTTTGGAATTGAGATGGGATGCATAAGTTAAATACCGTGTGTCCACTGTCGCTCAATTTGTGGCCCCGCTTCCTGCATTTTTTTTAGTAAATTGTAATAGTATATGCGCTGTATATACAGAGTAATCTTTCTACAGATGCTCTTGAAATCAAGGGTTCCTCAGTGAATGTGGCAATTAACTTATGTGTGAAAAATTTTTGCGTACTTTTGTTTTTTCCATGGTAAATTTTGATCATGCGTATTTAACATGAGGATCGGTAAGCGCTGTACATATTTGCAAAGACACTTGTGAATGGCGCAATACATTAGGGTACTACAGTTACTCGCATGTTGTTAAAAGGGGCTATTTCCTAATACGAATAAGCACTGCGTATTGAACACCAAACCTATATACTGTGTCAATATTTTTAGCAACCAGAAACATGAAACACAGTACACATTGTAAATACGTTCACAATGCAAGCTATTTCGTGTTGCCTTGGCAGAAATAGGTATTCCGCCGGATGGTGAGGCAGATTATAGGGAAAAACCAAATGACCATCCATGTAAGTTGCATGGATAATTGTGGAAGTATCAAATGTCCGACCTGTGCGTAGTTCCGTATTTGTTTCAGGTGATTCGTCTGTCTGCCTTAAAATTGTGTTTCCTCAGGTGCGCATAGGTTGTTTAGTTATTTAGCATGGAGTTGGTGCAATGCGCTGGGAGTGAGTCAAATGCTATTATAAGTATTTCAATGCTCCACTGTGCTCTTGTTACACGAACTTGCGTCGAACCTTAAGCTGATAGATAGGAGAGGAATATGTTCTATACGTTGCATAACTAGAATTCTATCCGTTGCACCGGTAAACGTATCATTCGTGGCAGCTAATATTGACATCGCTAATACTGGTTTCGCAAGCTGTGCATTATGTGGTCCCACAAAATCGCATTAACTTTATAGGTTATGGAGTTCTAATTTGACAAACCTTAGTTCGAATTTCGAACCGAAATTCTGAGCATTACAATATGCTTGCATATCACATTGTTTCATCAGTTCCAACACAGTAACCAGGCATGATTTTTACAAGTCAAACGGTTTTGATCAATTCTTTCTATTGAACGGCCGTTGTTCTTGTTGTGGCATTTAGAAACATCACAAATGCATATGGGCAACAAGTTGGTTTTAGACGCACATTGTTTGTCAAATCCGGCTGAACGTAACGGATTTGTGTAACTTGTCTGATGCAACGTGCTCCAATTTGACATCAATCCGATAAGGCTGGGGGGAATGTTTCTGCATATGGATGTCGCCGGCGGCTCACTCGATCACGTATGTTCGGTGTGTGATTTACTAAATTCGGGCTTTTCCCAGTTTGCTAAATCTTCTTTCACCCTGGATTCCATTCAGTGTCAGTTAGGCGGATGCGACTGACTGCCTATTTAATCAAATTTGACAAATGAATTATGAAGTGAGAATTATAGGGACAACCCCATATATATCGGACGCGTTAGAAATCATAGACGCACACACCACATGTAGTACTACATGTGTTTCACTGACGAATGTGTTAAACGCTCCTCCCCACGGATGTCTCAAGAATCTCTTTGGTCTAACTACAAGCTTTTACTGATTCTGTAATTTTAGTGTCCGCTTATGAGGAAGTGGAGCCTGGGGAATATTCCACGTTCGATGAGACCGACAGAGATTATCCACAACAGAGCTTGCTGACGCACAAGCGGGCTCCAGCGCCGGGTGAGTAAAGACCAGATCAGTCAAATCTAGTTTTAAAGCGTGTGAATGCGGCATTAGCTTGTATATTTCACTGCACAAAATGTACCTCGCGTGCAAGCACTTGATTGTGTACTCACCTTGTATTACTTCACCGTTCATCCAATAGGCATGTGGCGGACTGCGAAAAGGTAACTGCCCTTGGTCCCACTCGTTTAGGCTGGCGACTTGGTGGAGATGGAGCGGGCTACTGCAT